TTTCCCTACCACCCCAATATAAACAGCAGAACGCCCTTCCTTTCAAGCTGTGCTTCTCTGCCTTCTTGACTTTTGATCCCTTCAGTACCTGAAAACAGTATTTTTTTTTTCTCCTCAGTCTCTTTAATTTCTCTCCTTCTAGGTTAAACAGCCTTATGAGGCTCATTTATTCACATTATAAAATCCTTACATCATGGTCAGTCGCTTACAGACATGCACTCTCCAGTTTCTTATACATTATTTAATTCTGTTTGCAGGAAAGCTGCTATTTAAAATAAAGCCATACAGTGTCATATTGATCTTCTCTTCAGATGATTCACATGTTGTTTAAAATCACATTAATGGATTACTATTTTTTGCCTTTTTTATTTTCTTCTGACTGTTTTGAGGGGCTTAAGAAACTATCCTTGGACAAGGCTATATATTTAATTTTCTTAAGACGTCAATAAAACAGTAGGTTCTGAAGCAGTTTCTAAAGCTTATAAAGCTTATACTTTACATTGAATTTTTTAAACTGTCTTCCAAGTACACACTGCTAGCCGAAGTAATCTCCCAATTTTAGACAACCCTATTGTAAAAGTGCTGTCAGGTCAAGGGGATTCATCTTCTTCTGTCCTTCAAACAGATAATAACCACAAAGCACCCACATTTCCACACTTTTAGTCACATACATTGTCTTGTCAGCATACGCAGTCTTCTCAGCTCTCAAATTGCATATATTACAGGTCCCATCCATTATCTAAAAACCTAGTTCGTGGATCCACTTCATTTCGCCGCCTCCCAACTCAACTCATATCTCAGAAGAAGACAGAAAGTGTAATACCCTCTCGCTTAACACCTAATGACTCACTCCCTGTCACACAGAAACTTGCCAGAGGGGCTTGATTGAGAACTGCAGTCGCACCGTTATTTCCCTAAACACTCATTCCAAAAACATAACTCTCCCTGAACATATACCCATGTACCGCCACATAAAATGGACTTATAACTCAGACCCTCTGGCACATGCATATTGTTTTAAGATGAGTAACGAATGGCTCCTACCCGTCTGTTTGTGATAGTCCTGTAATATTATCCATCGAGCCAGAATTTTTACTGCCTCTTTACAGACAAATGGCAGATAAAGGGTAAAAAATCTCAGCCCTATTGAAGTTGATGGGAAAACACCCACTGATTTAAGAGGCACCAGAATTTCTGATTGAGGCTGCGCCCTTCAGCATCAATGACACAACCACAAGCACGGAGAGAGGAGCACAGGAGATGATGCCATAAATCACTAGGAGTTCGGTGGTCCCTACTTGCTTTAATGCTTTCTAATGGTGCAGCAGATGAATTAGGTACAGTCAGGTGGTAACATGTATAGCTAAGATGGTCTGACATCTGGGTTCTTTTTTTTTTTTAAATGTAATAAAAACATCTTTGAAAGATTTTAACCATTTAGAATGAAATATTCCAAGAATTCCAGGAAATGTTATTTTCTCCATCTTCAAAGACACTTTGTGGTGACAGCCTGCAGTCTCCATGCTCTGGGGCTGCTAACTGGTAAGGTCAGGGGAGGTCACTTTGGACAGGAGATGTGCCCTCCACCACGCCAGTGAAATGCATCAAAATCTGGCCAAAGCCGGGCATGGTCACGCTTGAGCTACCTGAGCAAGCAGAAAGCAAAATATGGTTGGGAAAGATAAGCTGCATGTGCATGGGGAGAGGTGGTAGATGGCCCAGCGAGGGAGGGTCTCCAGTGCATTGTCCTTCACACTGGTGGCACAGCCCAGGACCGCATTGTGTGTCAGGCCTGGATGAGCCCCCGTACCTCCACCTGGGTGGGTAACAGGGCTACAATATCAGATGCCTCCTTTGGGGTGAAAAACTAACCAAAACCCAAAAGTGCATGACCCTGAAATACAACACCGAGGGGAACAATGTTAACCTCAGAGGTAAATGTAATTTTTGGCATCACCTGACTTGGAGCATATGATCATATCACCTTATTATTTTAATATAGTCCTTTTGTAAGACCTGCTGGAATGACAGTGAGGTTTCCACCCTCCCGAGAGATGGTATGTCAGTGTTGCGTCCAAAGCAACACAATATTTGAAGAGGAATGTGCAGCCCACACAGAAGTATGGTGGGAGAAGGACAGTCACTTGTAGCTCTTGGGGGGGCAGGAAAGAAAGAGAGGGCAAAGTCAAGAAGTGAGCATTAACTGCACTTACGACTGCAGACAACTGAGCAATTAAAGTGGCTTTACTTTGTATGCTAATGTGTTTTTTTTTTAAAGTTGCAACCCAAATTCAGAAAGCCTCACTGCTTGCAAAAATGAGTACAGCGTTTTAAATTCCTGAACACTTGCACAAACTAGCCGCCTGATCCAAATGGGAAATGCTTTTGCCTGAAAAGGCATGACTTTTTGCTCTGTACAGCTACCCGGGTCAGCTTTTTCTCACCTGCATTTCCAACAGCAGACCCCAGGAACATCCCTTCCAAAACACACAGCTTCAGCCATGCCATGCTTTGCTTCTGTCATCCCTGTCATTTTAATACAAAGGATAAAAAAGGAAACATCCCAAAACCTCTCTCGTTTCTTGGCACAACCCAAAAGAGACCATGTTGCACTTTTTCCATGGCTGCGTCTCACAAGTCACTTTATAGACAACAGCAGATTAATTATAACCACGGGTTTAGCAAATCCCCATGACAAGACATCCTTATTGTGGTTGAGACAGTGTGCACTGAAATGATAGGGAGGAAATCAGCTCTTTTCCCGCATAAAAGTCTCTTGGTGGGCTTGTTACAACTGAAAACGAGTGAGGCCGCTCTCACCGAGCCATGCAGGGTACGCCGGGGGCCTGAGCATGACTTTGCAGGCTGCAATGTCATTTGTGGCAAGGGCTTGGGCGACTGAAATAAGAAGGAAAAGAGGGGGAGACTTTGCTTGATTCAGGGTTCATTCAACTGACCAGTGTTTTGGATGCTTTGTTAAAGAGGGACCATGAGAATCAGAGCACAGAAATAAATGAGACTCCGGGATAAATAATAAGAGATCATTCAATCAATGACATCTATCCAGACACCTATCTGCGACAGCATTATTTCGATGTTCCTCTTTACTGAGACATGGAATGAAAGACTGCATCTCTTTCCCGGGCTCTCTCCTTCCCTTGTTCATAAAACCATTTCTGTTAGTTAAAAAGCTACTGACTTGAATTACAGGACAAATACCTTCAGAAATCAAAAATAAATCCGCATAAAATGGTGAGACTTTCTTCAAAGCAAGTCCCAAGGGCAGTGCCCACCTCAAGCTCAGGGTAAGGAGGGAAGCAACGCTCAGGTGTTGCATTCAGTGTTATGACTTATCAGTCATTCTTTGCTGCCTGCACTGCCCTGACTTGTTGAGAGCATCATCACCAGCGTCACTTCTTCAGCCCGTGCCTGGGCGAGAAGGAGAAGGCTACCTGCACACCTTGTCCCACAGCAAACGTCCTTTGCTTTTGTGACATCCTTGTCTCCTAGGCAAAACAGTGCCAAATTTGGGAACGTAGAGGAACATAGAACTCCACGTGAATGGTGATCCTCCAGCACCAGAGAGGACCTCCCTGGCCATGCATACATTCCCCAAGCTGCTCTGTCCCATGCACTGAACTAGGCAGACATCCTTTGGGATGTAAAAAGTCATTACACGATTAAAGATTGTAACAAAAAGTAGATCTGCAGAAGGAAACTTTATTTTTGGCATTTCCTAATTTCCTGAGTGTTTGACTTTGAAACGTCAGTAAACATTTAAAACAGGTTTTGGTATTTGGTACTTGTGGTATCTACTTAAATGAAGAAATAAACACTCCCTGCATAAATGAAACATAAATGTTGCAACACCAAAATCCAGAAATAATAGATTCAAAGCATCTTTAATCCTAACCTTTTGAACAATGTTCTCCGACCCCCCCAATCTCTCTTAATGACCTATCCCTTTTTGGCTTGCCTGTTAAGGCACCTTTTATTAGGAGCTGCTTGCTTCAAAACGTTGCTGAAGAAGTATTCGAATTCAGCACTTAAAACGGAAAAAAATAAAAAAAAACCCTCATATTTTTGCTTGCCAGATTCACTAAGGAAAAACATTTCACAAAAAATGTATCATTAATCTATTGTCACAATGCATTTTTGAGTGTTTGGGTAAGGCTAGAGCTCTATTCATCTTTTTGGAATGGCATATTCTTATACCGCTTTTCAAAGCGGTTTCTATTTTTTAATGAAAATGTTGATATGCATATAAAATGTATGGGTTTATTGAATGTTATGGTTGACATCAAATTAGTTAGTTTTAGAATTCTACTTTGTGAAATGTTTCTTTTGTGCTTTTTTTCCTTCCTTTTTTTTAAGTTCCATGTGAGAAAAGGAAAACTTTTATATCTGGAGTCTTCTTGAAAGAAGACTCCATCTCTATTCAGCCCCTCTAGTCCAGGAATTCAAAACTGTTTCCATTTATCGGTTGTTATACTTGGAGCTTGGCAGGTCCCAGCCCCAGGCCAAGAGCACAAAGGGAGGATCTTCCTTCCAGCCAGGTGAAGGCTGAGGTGCCTCACCAGGAGAGTGCATGTGAGAACCTTACTCTGCTGATGCTTTTTGGGGGTTTGAAAAAAACAAAAAGAAAAAGGATTATTGTGATCTGTAAAGCCTTCCATCAGCACTAAATTCAAAGGAAGTTTATTAGTTCATTGTATAATCTGTGTAAAGTGTCCAAAGAAGCTTAATTCCTCTCTTCCCTCCCCCGAGCAAACCGACAAACAAACTGGCAGCTTTCGTCTTTGGTTTTGAAACAATGCTTTCCACTGAAGCTTTTAAAATAAATCTAATCCTGGATAGTTTCCTCCTTTTTTTTTAATCTGTTATAAAAGCGTATTTTAACACATACAGCCCATTTGATGTGTCCTTTAAAAGGGAAATGGTCTCTGAGCATAGCATGAAGAAAAAGCTCCAGCAAACAGCATGGGTTTGGGTGGGTTTTTTTTTTTTTTACCTTTCCACATGGTCAACGTTGCCTGCCACACCGACCCCTCCAATGGTATAAATTTTCCCATCGTACACCAGACTGTTATGTCGACACCTTGGGACTGTCATGCGGGACACGAGGTTCCAGTTATCGAGCAAGGACATGTAACACCAGACATCAGCGAGCGTGACACCCGACTCCATGCCGCCTGGCACCGACGTGTGGGTGAGGGAAAGAAAAGGGGAGAATTACGTGAGATCCTGGAACGGCAGCAGTTTTGCACACAGCAATCAAAGCGACTTACAAAGTAAAAACTCTTCAAATGACATTTGACTAATTAAAATAAATCACCCTCAATACTGAGCATCTGTTCCGATGATGCATATCTGTGTCATTTATTCATGCGCCCCAAAGGCTGGAGTTTTTTTTAATAAGATGACACGAAGAAATCAAGATGTCAGACTATGAGGGACATGTACATAAGGGGATAGGCCCTTTTCAGTGTTCATAAATAACTTCCAGTCTATTAAATTACTGCAACACTTGCAAGAAGGTGTCAGGAGGCAGAGCCCATCTTGGCTTGTGAGACAGAGGCCAGTCTGAAATCTAAAATGCTTAATGCAGTGATGGATTGAAGCAACACACACACGGGCAGAATAAAGTCAGTGCTTGCACTGTAGGCTTAATGCCTAATTTTAAGGGACAAATTTCTTATTTATTTTCATTTGCTGATAAAGGAAAGAACCAGCTGTACCACTCCTGTAAACAGTTGAAGATGCTCCAGTGAAATATTTATATTGGTCATTTTTTAACTTCTGACTGAGGCTTCCAAGGTAGCCACTTAGTGGCTGTCTCACTATCCCCATTTTGAAGAACAAAGAGGTGAAATGATTTATTTGAGACCACACTAGGAGTCAGTGGTTGAGCCAGGAAAAGAAACTAGACTCATTTCTGTGGTTTAATGAGAACACCAGGCTTCCTTCTTGGCATTTTGCTTTCCAAACCTATGCTATGTAGTGTGGGGTCCAGTACTTGGAGCTTGCAGGAGTTCGTTCCCACTTCTGTTGGTTCCCCTTCCCTTTTTCCTGTGTCTTCTAAGTTTGAGCAAAGCAAAATATCAACTGACATTCAGCTAGGTTTCCAGCCATGCGGGATTTTCAGCTCTCCTATTGTAACCACCAAAAATCATCAGGTCGCTCGAAAAAGGGAAAGAGCTGAAATAAGCTTTGAATTTAGGATTCAGCAGCTTTTGTTAGCAGGTATGGCACAGCCTAAAATAGCTCTACATATTGGAAAGTACCCCAGCTAAGAATAACTAAAAGTCAGCGTCTCTCAAAAGCCTCCATAGACGGCTTTTGCTCCAGCGGCAAAACGAGCATGGGCAAAAACCCACCAAGAAATAATTTCCAATCAATCCTTAGGGCCTCTCTGCAGTATTAATGGAATTTAACACCACAGGCAGTAATTTACTGTGGAAAATGCAGTGAGGGAACTCGGCAAGGGAAAGGCAACAGCTGTAACCCCTTACTCGTACTGCCTGGTGCATCCGCGCTCCCAACTACACCCTTGGATCGCATACATCCGCACCTCCCTGCCCAGGCTCATCAAACCTCCACTCAGCTGCCATCAGAGCATCCTTGCATCGCCTGGTGGGAATTGCTTTTCCCCCTCCAGCCAAGCAGAGGTACCACCAGACTGCAAAAAACCAGACACTGTGATGCTACGGGAGCAGTGTAGACAGCTACTTTGGGAGTTAAAGCCTTTTAAGGAGCGTGGTCTCAGTTTCATCGAAACTAAGAAGATTATAGGGCTAGTGACTACTGTCAAAAGAGAGGGCTCAACAACAAGTACAAAACGTGAATGCTCCTGTAAGCAAATACTGTAAGTGTAGGTCACATATTCAGCAGTTCGGCCTGTCTGTCTGAAATTCCATAACCCACCATTTAGACTAAACTACAGCCAGTATTTTAAATTGTGTTTCTATGGCAGTGAAACCTCTTTGCATGCTTGATGGTTGTCAGACCTATTTTCTCCACGTTGCCACTGCAGAATATTGCTGTTGACTGCTTTGAGTGAACGTTAACGCCGCAGAGAAATGGAGAATGATAAAAGCAGGGAAATCCCTCTCTCCCAACCTCCCTCCCACTCATATTTTTTTTTTTCTTTCCCCAGGAGCAGCTGGGTAAAACTCCTGCATGTCCTACATTGTAAGGAGGAAACTCTTCTCCCAGCCCAGTTAATCTCGGGTATGAATGGATTGAGATTAGCCCTGTAGAGAAGGACTGGGGGATAAAGGCGGACGAAAAAATGGATGTGACCTGGCAATGTGAGCTTGCAGCCCAGAAAGCCAACTGTATCCTGGGCTGCATCAAAAACAGCAGGTCGAGGGAGGGATTCTGCCCCTCTGCTCCACTCTGGTGAGACCCCACCTGGAATCCTGCATCCAGCTCTGGGGGGCCCAACATAAGGACATGGACCTGTTGGAGCGGGAGCGCCATAAAAATGATCAGAGGGCTGGAGCACCTCTCCTATGAGGACAGGCTGAAAGAGTTGGGGTTGCTCAGCTTGGAGAAGAGAAGGCTCTGGGGAGACCTTATTGCAGCCTTTCAATATAAAAAAGGGGTCTTGTAAGAAAGACGGAGAGAGACTTTTTACCAGGGCCTGTAGTGACAGGACAAGGGGCAACAGTTTTAAACTGAAAGAGCGAAGATTTAGATTGGATGTAATTTTTTCACTATGAGGGTGGTGAGACACTGGAACGGGTTGCCCAGAGAAGTTGTGGATGCCTCATCCCTGGAAGCGTTTAAGGTCAGGTTGGACAGGCCCTTGAGCAACCTGTTCTAATGGAAGGTGTCCATGTCCACAGCGGGGGGGGGGTTGGAACTAGGTGATCTTTAAAGGTCCCTTCTAACCCAAACCATTCTGTGATTCGCGGTTTCTATGAAATTTGGTGCTTACCTGAGAGATAGATGTTGTCCCCAGCACTGACCACGCTGAAAAACTCTCGATCGTAGAAGGGCAGGCTGGCCAAGGGGTACCACTTGTTGTTTTGAGGATTTAAGCAAGTGACCGCTGTTAAAGCACGTTGATTCATGCCAATCATCTGACGCCCCCCAACTAAGACTATTACCTCAGCTACACCTAGGATTCAAGTGAGAAAAATAATATTATAAAAAAGTTACATCTCTCAACCAGGCAGGTGCCTATCAAAAAATACTCAGCAGTCAGGGTAATTTTAATGTATCATATATAAATCTGTTTTAGATTGTGCAATCAAAACAGGAAGGGTGAGAAAAAAGGGAGCATGTGTAGCGGGGAGAGCAGTGGGTGAGGAATGACACTATGAACGTGCTTGGGAGAACTTGGGAGGGAGCATGCCATCTGGGCAAAACTTGAAGGGAAAAGAAATAAAAAGGCCTTTCCACGTAAAGACGTCTGTTGACTTCAACAGTCTTTGAGTGAAACCTGCATGTTGCCAATTCCCGTTCCACTAAGAAAATAGGAATTTTGTCAAGGATTGTGACAGCTTTCGAGCTTGACCATTTTCCAGGGAAAGCATGTTTGGATTTTAACCTGAAGAAGGTGTTCTCACACTAAAGGCTAATGTCTGGAAGAGACGTAGGCTATGGTAATGGTTCTTCATCCTGACTTTCTCTCTCCATATACTCTACGAACAAATCATTTTCTGATTATTTTTTTGTGTGTGCTTTTCCCAGAGAATGAAGGTTTTCCAGGTGTAGATAACCCATACTCAAGCCATGGATCGGGATCTTAGCATGCTAGGAAATATGATGGAGATAGCCTCTGCCCTAACATAGTTATTAACTGAGATTTATCTGTGCTTGAACAGCTCCTCCAAGCCCGTAACACGCGGGGTGCACAGCAAACCAAATTCTCTGTTCGTGCAAATGCACAAAACTTTTGCAATCCGCTTTTCCAATTTATTCCCACTTTACAGCCAGAGCTGAGTCAAATCTGATCCGAGTGTTACTCCAGACTCATCTCTACAGTGACAGGTTGCAGTTTAACTCTGGGACATTTTCTGGCTCCAACCCCAAGAGTCAAGTGCTGGGGATAGACTTAGCATTTAGCAGAAGCGTTAAAAAATCTTTCTGCAGCAATTGTAAGCCCCCACTGCAACCTGTTGCCAGGAGAGGTAGGCTCAGAAGTAGGACCACAAGGCCACGAGCTGGAAGGAATCACCATTTTGGCAGCTGTGCTCACGGCCAGACCTGTTGCTGTGATGTGTTACGGTGCCCAGACTAGAGACAAGTGTGCACAGGCAGCAGGGTCAGAAGCGCAGAAGCGAGATTGCCGGCAAGAGAGATTAGGAGCCACAGTGGAGAGAAATGCGTCTTCAGAGTAATGGATTGTCGCCATTCTCCATTAGCTTTTTCAAAAAATATACTTGTGTCATTCAAGCAAGGTTACTCTCTAAAAAGTTATTAAGTTAAAGTGCTGTACAGTTTTAAATAAATATTGCTCAGTAACAAGAGATCATTATTTTTGTGCCATACCAGGAAATCTAATCACCTGTGCAAGACATAACTTGATTATAATCAATGACCTCGAGAGGGCATGTGACATGCTGCAGCGAGTCCACAAAGGGTGTTTAGAGATCCTTTGTGCCTACGTGAATGCCGTTGATATGCAAAATAACATGATTCTATATAATTAGACTCTGACCTAAAAAACTATAATCACCCTCTCTTACCCCGAGAGAATCACTTTTCCCTCATCAACAAGCTTCTGGAAATGGTTCATATTACACCTACAATTTTATATACATAAAATAAGCACTTTTCAAAAATCCCTTCAAACATCACACCATTAGTCGTCTTCAATGAAAGACTTTTTAGGGTAGATTGTTACTGAACGTCCTCTACACTCCATCCTTCTGAAAGGTGCCTTGATGAGGCAGTCTCCAGAAGCTGCAAATGCCGTGGTTTGATATGCCATCTCCGTGCCACATTAGCATTAGTGGCAGCACCAGAAAGTTTTGCCTGGCTTTGTGATTGTACTTATGGGAGGCAGAAGTACAGGCAGCATGTTAAAACAATTCACCTGTTTCATCTGACTCCTTTTTGGATGCAGTTTTCCTACATGACATTTGCACCACTCTCTGTTTGACAAATATTTAGGATATTTTTCACACTACCATGATACAGGCTCTGCTGGCGAGTTGGGTGCTTGGGTTTTTTTCATGTATTTTTCCAAAAAGGAAAATGCATGCATTCCTCAGGTGAGAAACTTCTTGAAGCGGCACGGTTCTCGATAGCTGCTGGGTTTTTAAAAGGGAATATATTATGTATGATCCATTTGTTTTGGAGGCAGCAAACAGCCTGGACGGGTTCTGTAAGACTCACTGTATGAAAATAATGTGTTTACATAGGGCTGTGAAAGTGAAGCTGTTTTATGAATATTAATCAGCTGTTCCCTGCAAAAGGCTGAATAGCAAAGCAGCAAATTATTCAGCTATTTTTGCAGTTAAAGAGAAACTGAGGCATGGAGGGCAAGGGGTTCACTTTCAGGACAATGGGGGCATGTCCCGGTTTCTGCCAAAGTTAATAATTCCTAAAAATTAGGCTCCATTTAAAACTCATTTCAGAAACGTGCACCTAAAACCCCAGGTGTGACCATTGGGAGAGGCGCCTAAACACTCAGGCAAAACAGAAATGAAAAATGGAGCTTGAAATATCATCAGGCTCCAAGGAGGAGCCAGGTGAAGGAGCCGTGGTGCATGTCCCATCCCTGGGCATGTCCTGGCCATGCCTGGGAACTGCCAGACCAGAGAGCTGCTATCGCTGAAGGAAGTTTTGCTTTACCTGCAGAGAGCCTGGGCCGGGTCCTCGGCGTCTGCATCTCTTGTCGGGCATGTGGCAGCATGTGATAACGTTTGGCTTCGTTCACTAGATCCCGGCAAGCCTCCGAAGACTTTATCAACTCCTCGTTGTCAACAACGTTTAGCAGATAACTGGGATGGATGAAGGGGAGGCGCACCACTGCCAGCAACTCCGCAGCATACTGCGGGGGGGAAAGAAAATAATAACATACTGCAGCCTCTGTGCCGCTCGGCATCTCTACCTCCTTCCTGGCAAACTGTCCCGTCACCCAACCTGGAAAGATACTTGTCATGGATGCTGCATACAAGCCCTGCCTAGCGATCGGGTGGGACAGAAACAACGCTGCCCTCGGTACTCCCTGGCTCAGACTGATTTTGGTCCCAGAGGGATTGAAAATAATCTTCAAAAGCTGGCAACTTTTATTATATAGCACTGTACGGACGGATTTTTGAAATAAAAAATCATTCTGAACTCCGGCTAAATAAAACACCTAGTGCACTGGAGACATAGTGTAAGCTTTTGAGTTTTCTGAATTAACCTTGAAATGTGAGTGTGGTTATTGTGCTGTAAAAAAAACCCAACCCAAACAAGTTTTTTTCTGGCACTCTAAATGTGAAACAAAAGCTGGTAAATAGGATGGATTTCATAACTGCTATGGCAGAGACTGAGCGATGCAAGACAATTTGCTAGAAATCTTTTAAAAAATAGGATTTATTTGTTGGCGAAACAAATCATGTAGTTCTAGATTTTGGGGAAGTCAGACTCCAGAGGGTGCTATACAAATACTGACAGTAAGTTTCATCTTCTAAATAAATACATTAAACCTCAGGGGCCAAAGGACACCCGAGCAAATGAAGCTGTCTGTCACTGAACACAGCTTAAAGGAGAACAAAACCCCAAGAGAGAAAACTGCAATCAAAAAACCAAGAGTCCATCCCCAGATTATTCTTTTTATATATAATTGCTTATATCACAACACAGCACAAGAGTAAAGTGAAATGCAGAACAATAGGAGACTGTGGTTCTTGAGAAGCAATGCACAGAAACAGGATGCAAACTAAGGGTGCGCAGTGAGAAAAGATAATCAGCTGTTGTAATAAATATTCATATAGCGGCAGCATCCAAGGATCCCAACTGGGATTGAGGCCAGGATGCAAATAAATATTCCTGAGGTCCATGCGGCTGGTCCTGAGAAACTCTGAGCGCCAGCAGCATCTGCTGGCCTGCAGATGCCTCCGGTCTTCCAGAAGCTACTTGGCTCTCGCTTTCTTTGTCAGCAGCATGCCTGTCCCTGCACCGCGCAAGAGCCAAGTCACAGCAGGAGCAGGGACAGGAACAGGGCAGAGGCATGGTGAGATGGGAGGGCTGGGATGTGGCCTGAGCCAGCTAACGGGCTGGCCAGGCAGGTGAGGGTGAAGTGACACCCAGGGCCACTTCCAGGGCTTCCCCTTTCCCCACCCATATTCAAGAAGCAGGCTTAATTTGGGAGGAAAACACAGGACTACGTCACAGCGTGTCCCTGGCTGAGAGCCATGTCAGCCTGGTGGAAGCTCAGTGAAAGCGAGAATGTGACTATCTGTGGGGAGCTGAAGCCCACAGGTGCCTGCGGGGCCACGGCAGCAGGGAGATGGCCAGGGTCTCAGGCTGACTCCCAGCCCCCTGCTCACCAGCCCCCCGTGACACTGGGGCCGGCAATTTTAGGTACGACTTGAAGAGTTAAGGCCTGGCCACCCTGCAGTTGTTTGGGGATAAAAAAGTTATCTGGGTGATGCAAAAGGGATGGAAAAACGACAGTGCTCCTCTTCTGAAAAAAAAACAAACCAACAACCAAAAAACCACCCATGTGAGCAGCGAGTCCTTGGCTCCTCGCTATTACCTCTGGTATGGCATGGGGCCAAGTAGGGCTTGAGATCACTTCATCAGCCTCCAAACCAGAAAAGAAGACACTCCTCTCTTTCCCCTTGCTGACATCCATTTCCAAACTGCTTTCTAGGAGGTAAAACGGCTGCTCCCCCTCCCCGGAGTCACAAATGTCAGGCACTTGGCTGCAGACACCTTAATGTCATTAAACGGTACCTTGTAGGAGAGGGAGCAGTGGACATATGGCAGTGGGTGGCAAAGCTCTGATTTCAGGAAGTGCTTTTTTTAAGAAGGTTGGAGGCGTTTAACCTTACATAGGAGCCAAGATGAAACGTGGCATCGGGACATGGGAATAAGGCGGATAGTGGGTATACCGGGGATGAGCCAGGCAACCCCTGGTGGGGAGGTTAATCCCCACTACAGGCCGCTCGGGAAGCAGAACGAGTCGCTTAAATAAAGTTGTAAAATATACGGAGCCTATAGTGGAGCCAGCACCTTCCCTCGGTGCCGTGGGACATGCCAGCTCCTGAGACAGGTCAGCGCTGGGAACATTCGTACCATGAACCAAGTCAAAACACAGGCGCAAACAGTTGTGCCACTCAATTAGGACACAGGGTTTGTCAGGCACCAGGATGTCCCAAAATTGAGTGTGAATTCGCATTGGGAAGAGAGCTCCCCTCTGGCAGGGATGGACAATTCTCATGGCCCCAGTGGAGCAACTGCCTCCATCTCCCACCTTTCCCAGAATAAACGAGGCAGCACCGCTGCCTGAGCACGCTGAGCTCTCCCTCTCGCTCGCCCACCTTGCTTTAATTAGATAAGTGAGAAAATGTGATTCTGTTTCTCTCCTGGATTCCCCCCCCCCCCTTTCTCTCCTCTTTTGTCTGAGCTCATGGCTTATTTTGAAGGGGAATAATAATTAGAACATGTTGCTCCCTTTCATCAGCTTGAAAGTTAATGTCACATATCAAAACCGATGTCACTTTTCACTCTGATTCTTCATTTTGCTCAAAGAGCAGGAAAAAGCCAGCTCTGTGTGTGTGTGCACGCACAACCACGCGCAGTCGCGACTGGGGCTCATCGCTGATGGCATTAAGGGTACGTATAATCGCAGTGTTTTTCACCAAGGGATTTGAAGAGTATGTACCATCGGTGTCTCTAGAAGACAGGAGAGGCTTTTATAAACCAACGGCTTTTTGCACCAGCTCTTTTAAGCACTATAGTCAAGGGTGAATTTCATTTAGCCTCACTGATTTAAGAATATTCAAGTGATTTAGGCAATCAGCAGCCTTTTTCTTTTGGATTCTCCCTTATGAAGGCTTCCTAGCTCCGTTAGCTATGATTGTACTAAATATCCCGTTACTATTATCCTTTTCATTTAAGACTGGAATAAGCACCATAAAGCATTTCAACCTCCTTACCATCTGTTATTTGCTCTCCATTCTCTCTTGCTTTTCCGTTGTTCCTTATACAGCTACGAAATATCTACTGCACCTACTGATGTTACTGGTTTTTATTAAAACAGCAGAATACCTGCACAGGGCATGTTGCCAAATTCATCAGACAGCAACCTTTGGTCCCTGGAGCAGCGGTTTACGCCTGTAACTCCGAGGGCGTTTTCTTCTTGCTACTCGGCTGCAGGCACTGGCTGGACAAGTAGAAATATTTCTTGGGTCTTTGCTGGGAATCACTACTCTACAACCTGCATCACGCACCAGGGTGAAGCAGAGAATATTAATGCCCCTTCTGGCCTAAATAGACATGGGAGACCATGCATCAGCTGCTTGAAAATGGACATCATTATGCAAAAATCTGACGAATTTATTGCTTAAAATGCTAGGGAAGTTTTTGAACACTGTCAAGACTGTTTTTTCAGGTGACGTGAACCTCAGCATAGCTCCCGTTGGATGAAGGGAGCTGCTCGGGTTTTGCACCAGCAGAGGATCTAGTCCATAAAGCCCTTGTGGAGCAGTGATGCTGCTGGATACCACTGCGGTGCCGTGAATGGCCGGGGTGATTCTGCACGAGCCAAGGCACCACTGCCACCTGAGCAAAGGCTTTTTGGACAGTCTCTGGGAACACAGCCGAGCAGCAACTTTTTGAGAGATGCTATCTGGCCTTCTTCAAGGCACCTTCACTGATAATGATTTCAGTGGCTGAACTGAAGGCAGGGTCTTCAACCAGACTGAAATCACCAGTGTGTTTCATAAAAACAGTGAAAGAAAAATCTTAGGAGATCTTATCTTTCCTTAATTACCTAAACATTTTTGGGGAGACATTCAGCTCTAGATTCAAACACCTAAATAGGTACATACAAGCACGTATTTACTTGTCAGCTAGACATGTGTAAACTCATGTTATAATTAATAGAGGTTTAGTCAACCCACTTAACACAGTCCCCAGAACAATCTGAGCTGAGAGGATATTTCACAGACCAGGGGAAGCAGAGAATATCAGTGTCCCCTTCTGTCCTAAAACTGTGAAGCATCAGCTCCTGGGAAAGGGAGTGCATTCCTCAGACCATGCCACATTGAGATGTCTACAACCAGACGTCAACCCAAACTGGATGATGATTAATTCTCCCCTCTGGTGGGAATTTTCATGTCCATTTGCCCTGAGCACTTTGTTTGGAAGGTCATGATCACACTACAAGGAAGCCTAAATGTTATCATTGAGTCAGCGCTGCCTCAGAGGAATATATGATCAACACGATATGCTACACCTTGAAGGTGACCCTTTCAAGACTTTCCCTAATAATCAGTTCATGCATAAGTTACTCTCATCTCTGTAGGCAGGCCAGAGCTTGAGCAAACTAGATTACAAAACAGTTGAATGCGTTTTTGGGGGATTTTTTTTTGTTCCTGCCTGGTAATTTGAGTGAGGATATTTACTTTGCTAAACTTTTTGTGACATTTCTTCTCCTACTAATTATATCGGTATTATGAATGCTTGCTTGCAAGTGGGCTTTGTTCTGGTACCTTCTAAGTCTCAGTTACAAAAACCTCTTCAGTATCACATTAAAAATAATCTTTTTATTCTCAAATCTCTAATCCAGTAAAATCCTCACAGGTATTCTCCAAAAGGACTCTCAATGTGCTCCTGCGTAGACTTGGGCTACAACAGTACCCAGTTAGTTTTAAAAGGAAATATGTTTACTGCTACAGAGTCAAATTTCCTGCTCCTTAAATGCTACACTGGAAAGCTCTCAAGATTTTTACCATTTTTGAAGTAATGCCCAGAGAGGTTAAAATAATGTTTCCCTTATGCCTTATAACTCATGTGTCTCTCTAGTTTGCTGTTCTTCCTACAAAGGACCCTTTG